CGAATACATTACAAAACATGTATAAAATGCTTTTACTACATTTTCAGTTAAAACAAAGCTGAAAATCGTTTAAATTATTAGCTCACTTGTGACAAAATGACATTGTGGGCTTTTGTGATCGAAATTTGACTGGCGTGTGTCCGGTGTGCGTACAGTGTGCGTTCGTCCGGGTCCGTCCGTCCGTCAGTGTGTCCGTAATTTTTTACTTTAAATGACCTCATAAAACACTAAACCAATTTCATCAAAACTTCAAGGGAATGTTTTTTTTTGTGCGGTCACCTTTAAATATTTTTGAGTGGATTGAACTTCATGCAGAACTTTGGTTGCCATGGCATCAAAAATGTTCTTTTGAAAACCCCAAAGAAATAGAATGAAATATCTTCTATTGCATGTCTACCATGTTTGTTTAAATAATAAAACAATTTTGCAACCATTAACTTTCCATAGCATAGAGGCTAAAGTATTTGACATGAAACATTGACAAATTAGCGTCTACTATGTTTGTTCAAATTTGGCCCCGGGGTCTAATTAAGCATCACCGTGAGCGCTCATTTATTGATTTTTTTACGAGATAATTATAGAAAAAACTTTAACATTTTTCTCTTCCATAAGTTTGAAGGCTAAAGGTTAAGATTTTAGCATGCAACTTGGCCTAGTGAACCTTTCCTTAATTTGCTCTGTTTATAGCCAAGGAGTCTTAGTTGGTTTATTGCGGGATTTTGCGTCACAGACATTCCTTGTAGGTATATACAAAAAAAAATATTTTCTCAAAAACCATAAAACAAGAGTTTGCATTCTTGAAATGTAGCATTGTCAGTGAACCTTTACCAAGTTAGTACAGATTATAGCTATATTCTTTATACTGGCCTTGCCTAACAGTGTCATATATTTTCGTTATATGTAAATATTGAAAACTCAACAACTCTTTATAACCATGACTTTATTTGATCATATATTTGGCATGAAAATTTTAATTAAGTTTGAATATTCAGTTAATCTCAATGATCTTACAGATAATTCAAAGGTTACTGTATATTAAGTGGCTTCCGTCTACCCTTAAATCATTAAGGCTGAAGTTTAGATATTAAGCATAAAATATTATCTAGTAGGCCTCTTCCAAGTTTGTTAAATAATAGCCCTCGAGTCTTTTTTGTCCCACGGGGTGGGACAAGGATTTCCCTAATTTGAAAAATTAAATTCTCAACCGCGTGACATATTTTGCTTTGTTTAAGCAGGACCATCTATGATTTTTAAAACATGCAAAATGGAATTTTGGCAATTGTTTTGCCTAGATTTAACCGGGCTAAAATTATGCAATTTGGACTTGTAGCACAATTCAGATACAAAATTTATCTTTGACTAAGATGTTGAGTATGAGTCAGTGACGTATATTAGTGATTACATTTTTATCTAAAATTTCATATTTTGATAATAGTTGACCTAGATTGACTTAGTCGAGCAATATATTGCCCTCTTGTTTAAAATGACAGCAAACATTGACGATATCAAAGCTGTTTTGTAAAGAAATGTCAAAAAATGGAATCCACTCTTTTTTGTCAATCAATGGACAATATAAGACTTGTCAAATAGTTTCCATTTAATTTGTATCATCATAAATTAATAAACAGTTAAAACAACTTAAAATTTCAATAATCCACTTCGTTAAATACGTAAAATTTTATCCAATTCATACCGTGTTACACTATTTTCAAAAGAATTATAGGTCACCGTTTTTTTAACAAGAAGACCAAGAGGGTCCGTGATAGCTCACTTAAGAAAAAGGTCAAAAGGTCAAAGTGGAGCCCTTTTCATTGCAGAAACACAATTTGAAAAACAGGAACAGCTTAATCTGAACCATTTTTTTTACATTACCACCAAAGGTATTTTTATGTCTAAGCTCTAGTTCTTTTGGATTTTCGCAATATATTGATTCAAGTTTTTAATATATACATGTTTATATAAGGACAATAAATGACCCCTTGGAGCTAGGCCAATTTTGACCCTATGACTTTATTTGAACAAACTTTGTATACATTCAAAATTAAAATATATGCATTCATTTCTTGTTGAAAAATTTGACTTTTTATTACCTTTTATTACCTCCCTTTATTTACATGAAATGATAAATTCGGTAATATCTGTATAACTAATGTTTTTCGGCACTTACAAATATATATAAAATTTCAATTAAAAGTGGTGATGCTGAACACTTAACACTTGTTAAATTCTTATAAATAATCAAGTTCAAGCAAACCAAATTCTGGAACACAATTTAACATTTGTAATAAAAAAAGCTAGATTCCGTATGTGAAAAACATAAGTATATACCATAAATGTAACATACAGTCTCCTTTTCTCGGAGAAACACTGTTTTCTACCGTTTGAAAAACATATGTTATTCTTGAGTATCCATATGAAAACCATGTGTCTGCACCATATATAAAACATACGGAATACTATGTTCATATGTTGTGCATATTTACCTGTGTTAATTGTTTGTTCTTTCTGTTTATGTTAGTCATTACAGACAATTTGAGATTTCTTTTTATTCTAGCACAATACATTAGCACTTTGAATGATTTTTAATTCCATCAAGTACCAATGTTTATGTAATTCATATATTTATATTGATAATGAATAGATACATGTACTTGGAATCATTACTGTAATATACATGTACATGTATATGTATAGTTATGATGAGACTGTATACTATTTATGTATTTGCATAGTTAAAATTATGATATTGTTTTTAAAGGGATTAGAATTGCATTTACATTTGAACATATAATACATGCATTGATTATTATGTTATAGGTCTATACCTATGTGTTGTAGCTGGCCAATAATTTACAATAAAGTTATAGGAATATTGTGAGAGGTGGCTTTGATTATATGTCTTCTTTTGAGACAGCTCTAATTGGTGGATTTTTTTTAAATGTATGTTTTTTCTGAACTTAAGATATCTGACAGGTAATACCTAGCCAGTATTTCTCACCCTGAGAAATGGCGGAAGAATTTCAATATAGCGGGATTTTATGGTTTAGAACTGTTCGCTATTTAGGGAAGCTAATGTGTAAGCGGCGGGATAGCTCATTTGGTAGAGCTGTGGGTTGGGGTATGGGGATAACAAGCTCGAGTCACGGTCACGCGAAACATTTTTCTCACCCTGAGAAATTAGAAGACGAGGTTTTGGGGATAAAGTCCCTGTCAGACTGTGATATTTCAATATCAATATGTGAATAATAATGGGAAGGAACGTTCTGTAAATATGTAGAATAAAATTACTCTAGCTCCGATAAGAACTTGGACTTTCTTAAATGAAACGAGGAGGAACTGGTAAGGAAGAAAAAACCCTGATTTCCATCATATGTCTCACGAACTTGATCTCGGATAGATTGGTATGCACATACGCACATGATTGCTTAATTGAATATCAAGACCTTTGCAATTATAGAGTAATTTAATCCTTAGCGTATGTAAAAAAGGATTCAATCTCAAATCTGCGTCGTGAATATTTAGCGGGCCGAACTTCGGTCTGAATATATAATGTTGAAATCACAGCATTATTCTTTGAATCTTTGTAAGAGACACTTTACATATTTTATATCCTTTAGATTCCCATGGAAATTTTCAAAATAATAAGACATTCGTCTAAACATTTCATTTGTTGTAATAATTCACAAATTCCAGACCCAAAAACACGAAACACGAAAGCAAACGAACTTTAAACGTTTCTGGGGATAGAAAACATACGGTTTCAAACACACGATAAACCAATAATGATTCACATTAACCATTAACGATATATGCTCGCAATGATGCAGTTTTGGGAAATGATTTTATCAAACGCACGTTGCACGATATACGCACACATAACATACGAACAACACACGGAAGAAAAGCGCTTTTTTGACAGCTGAAACGTTCACCCTACTGTAGTCACAATAAGACCAGTATCGAAATCATAATTTAAGCGTCGTTCAGTCAAGTTTGTTAAAAATAATACATGTTTAATTCATGGATCTTTATCAATTATTGTGGATTTTAATGTAAAGTTTAAATGTAAATTTTCACTCAATTGAATGTTCATAAAAAATGATGAAGGTAGAAAATTTTACATCTTGCAAGAATGTATGTAAATTAAATATTTTGCTTTCATATTTTTCATTAAGATTTTTATAAAAGTCATGTATCACTGGTAATTTCGGACTGGTTTTACTATTACTTAACAATTTACTTCTTTTCAGTTTTAAAATTTTTCAAGTAAATGAAAATTCTTCTCAAAGGTTTTCTAAATCTGGAATCCATTCAATTTCATAAATACCTAGCTTCCATTATATTGTCGTCTTAATGCAGCTCATGATACCTTATTTTTAATTACATGTCAAATTCTGCTTCATTTCTTGCTTCAAAGAATGGGTGGTAGCTTACATCAAACATTGAAAGAAGCCTTATATTCGAGTAAAAATGTGTATATGCAATTGTAACAGGTACACAGTTTATGAGCCCCAGGACTATGCTATAACTATTTTCAGCTATTTGCACAATTGCACTTTAAGATGATTTTTATAAATAACGAAGACTACTTACAGAAAATTTGCCTACTTTAAAGATACTGTATGTTTTAATTAAGATTGTAACCACACATAAGTGAAATTTTATAAATGTATATAATTATACTTTTTAAAACAATTTCTAACGTCGGAGAAAATGTAAAATATAGACTGCGAATATTTGTGCACATTGTATATAATCATTAAAATTTATGCATTTATTTCTTATTAAAAAAGGAATGAAGGTGACTCCCTCCCTGTATTATCATGAAAAGTAAATTCGGTAATATGTTTACTAATAATGTTTTTTGGAACTTACAACATTGATAAATCTTCCTTTGAGCATTATGTTTATGATATAAAACCATATAGAATTTAGTTACAGGATCTTGAAAATACTAAATAATGTTTTAATTAAATTGTTTTATTTGTTTTATTATTTAGATTGTTTAAACGTATCTTGTGGATCAACAAAACCGAATTTAACATGCATATCAAATGCATCAGAAAACAGATTTGAAGTAAACGCCAAAAAGAATGCTTGGCCATGGATGGCAGATCTTCGAACATTGGTACTTTCAGAATTTAAAAACATTTTAAACGTCTTCGCTGCTTGAATTAAAACATAATTATTTGGGGCGGTGTCATTTATAGAAATTAAGAAGTTAATTCAGTTGATCGATACTTTGTCACTTGATGTAATTTATATAAGACTAAATCTATTCTATGGAACAAACCTACTAAGTATAAGAATGCTTTTATTAGCTCACCAAAGCCGAAGGCTCAGGGTGAGCTTTTAGTATCATAGGGGGATACTCCGGCATCCGTCGTCCGTCGTCATGCGTCAACAATCGTCTTCTGCTTTAAAACTGCTTGGCAGATTTTCCAATATTTTGGTCTGTAACATCATTGTGACAGTCACACTTAAATTTGCTCATGTCAGTTAAATTGGCCTCTTGTAGGGGCAACAGAGCTAAAAATAGAAAAAAAACCTTTAAACATCTTCTACTACAGGACTAAAAGATGGCTGATCGCTAAACTTTGTCGGAAGCATTTTTGGAAAGTTTTTTTATCAAGTTTACTCATATTAATTTTATTTGCCCCTTGTATGGCATCTAATGCTAAAAATAGGAAAAAAACGTAACATGTCTTCTTCTAAAGAACTAATTGGTGGATGATCACCTAACTTTGTTTGTAGCATTCTTAGGTAGTCTTTAATCAAGTGTGCTCATATTAATTTGATTGGTCCCTTTTAGGGATCTCTAGGGCTAAAAATATAAAACCTTTAGACATCTTCTTCTACAGAACTAGTTAATGGATGATCACCAAACTTTGTCTGTAGCATTCTTGGGTAATCTTTTATCAAGTTTGGGGCCGCTAAAGCTAAAAATATAAAAAAAAATATCTTGAACATCATTGCTACTGAAATAATTGATGGATGATCATTCTTGTTTGTCTTTATGTAATTTGTCATTTTATAGCTCGACTTTTGTTTTTAAAAAGTAGAGGTATTGTTATAGTCCTGGGGGCGTTGCCGTTGCCATTGCCGTTGCCTTCCGCAAACTTGTACCTGGATCATAACCTTTTTAGTTATTGGTGTTTTGTTTTCATACTTGGCCACATCAACCCTTGGGACAAGATTTCAGTAGACTACACTAACCTTGACCTTCATTCATAAATGACATTGACCTTTTATGTCAAAAGTCCAAATTTTGCTTGTTCTTGCTGTTATTGGCTGTTACTTTGTTATTTGCAAATGGATTGTTTTCAAACTTGAACATAATAGTCCTTAAGGATAGCCCTTTGAAATGATTAGACAGACTATGACCTTCACTCATACATGACATTGACTTTGAAGGTCAATTTATTAAAGTTTTTGTTTTTATTGGCTGAAACTTTGTTATTTCTTCAACTTTGAACAGAATAATCTTCAAGAATAACCCTTTAAACTAGCTACACAAACTTTGACCTTCACTCATAATTGACCTTGACTTTGATTGTCAAATTATTGAAATTTTCAATTTTCTGGCTGAACCTAGCTTTAACTTGGCTATTATTGAATGGTATGACTTCATATTATAAGAAACTTTCTTAAGGACAAGTTTGTCATGTTTATCAAACACAAATTGACTTGGGCTATTTAATGACCTTGACCTTGAAGGTTAAATTACAGAAGTCTCACAGATTTAGTACCATATATATTTATTGGTGTGTATGTATATAACCGATTAAATTTGTAAAAAGTAAACTTTTAGATTTGTTCAAACATTTCTTTGTTTTCTTTTAGAAAAAGTCAAAAAATCGACCGTTGCCTTCGCCCGGTGGTGGCTCTTGTTATTCGTTGTGCTATTTTAATATCGGTTTCAATTATTTCTATGCAGAATCACATTTTGCAAACTTGGTTATCACTTGTTGAAAATAATTTTGCACTGTTTCATGCAATGTATGTAAAGTTGTTTTCATGTTCACTGAATACATTTCATCAAAACAACCTATTGCCTTTTTCCTCTATGTATTAAAGCTACAATGTTTCCCATTTCTATTAAAGAATAAGATAATTAACCTGAAATGTTTACTTTCTGGTTGAGTTGACTAGTATACCTGTGTTATCTTAAATGAATATTGACCGGTGGTGTCATCCTGACAAACAGTATACATGTATATCTAAATACTGAGATTATGTAATTATCAAAGTTTTAAGATAAGTAAAAGAGAGAAAGATCGCAATTTTGAAAAACAGCCATAGGCAAATTTTATCACAAGTTAATGGATGGACCATCACAACACTTGGTTCCTATCATTTTTACTATAACAAAAAAAAACAATCAGTGTCGGGAAACCTTACAACTAGAGAGGTAAGTTGAAGTTGGCCTGGACTTGTCTTTCTACAAGTTTATTTGTAAAAAATATTTCTGTAATCATTGGAAAGCAGTTGTTACTTGTGAGCGATTCAGGGCCATCATGCCTCTCTTGTGTTCTTTTGGAAAGAAAATTTTAATACAATTTAATAATTCTATATAGTACACATAACTTGAAAGCCTGGATTAAGCGTATTTTCAAGTATTGTTTAAGACATCATCTTGATAACAATGTTGCAGCAACACTTCTGAAGTGGTAAAGAAACAATAAACTATGCTGTTCTTATTTCTTTTATTTATTTGTTAATTAAAAGATTTCACAAATTGTAACAACAACATTATATGGAAATCAGCTTCTTTGTCTTTCTGGTCCTCAAAATGTATTTGAAATCCAAGTACCAATGAAGCTTGAATCTTAACAATTATGACGCCCCACAATAAATACACATATCTTTGCTAAGTTCTAGAGTTATTTCCTTGTGATTATTTTGCAAATTAGTTTTTCGGAAACATAGGTTATCAACTTCTAATTTTTACAGATACATAAATGTCACTTGGGATTAAACAATGTAAAAAAAATATAAGAAGGATTTTTAACATAAATACATACAAAATAGTGCACTTATATAATTAGTAATGCCAAAAAAATACACCACACCACAAGTATTTAGATTTTATGCCACATTAATCAACAAATCGAACAATCAATCATTTTGCTACATAAATGGTAAAGGCATGTTGTTAATTTAAGCAATCAAGTTTTATTTATTTGCAGCACAGCCACCAGTGCGGGGGCTCTGTGATAAATGACCAGTGGATCCTTACGGCTGCTCATTGCTTCGATGACACCAGTGTTACAAAAGTTCACTTGGGTGAGTTCTTTAAATGAAAGCATGTATACATACACATTTTAAACTTCATGGGTACTTAACGTTTAGTGTACAAAATGCCCGTACTCTTACGGCGTATTCTAAAGTCTCATCAATAGTGAATACATGTGCAACAGTACGCATTATTTTGTTTGATTTGTTTGATTAAGCTTTACGTCACACCGACACAGTAACAATACGCATGATCATACACTAGTATGTGTCTATATTTGAAGAGAAACAAAAATATTAGACAAAAAGTCATAACAGATATCCTTAGATACAGAAAACAACATTATTAAAATAATAATTAATAATATATTTAATTACATTATACATATAATAAATATATGTATAGGTATAAAATATGTTCATATATCAATTGATGTAACAAGTCTTTCTTAGGAATGACCAACACATTAAACGACGACATATATATATATATATATATATATTATATATATATATATTTATATATATATATATATATATATATATATATATATATAACATCTCCCCCTCCCTTGCCATTCTGTCCTGTAAAATGTTATCATTGTCTCTTTCAGCTTTTTATTAGATTACCTTATTTAGTGGTTTAATTCAGTTTTCTGGGATTTTCTTAATTTAATAGTTAACAATAGCAAAACTTCGCCAATGGCCAATGCTGGCCCAGTCGTTCTGCATCATCCTATTAATTCACGTATATAATTTTATCGTGGGAATTAATATCTCAATCTAATATAGGTCATCTTAGAGAAGATATATTAGCTTTTGACTCCACATTTGTTTTGTTCCGGCTGCTAAGGCGGCAAAAAGCATAATTTATGTATGACGTGTCAATTTTATAAATATTAAAACGGAGATTTACAGTAGTGGTGTTTATTCTAAAACTTTGTTTCTGAAAAGGATTTAAATGACAGCCATATTTCTAGTATTATAACTTATAAGTACGCATTGATAGGAAAGATCTGAAACTTCATATAATGTGCTGGATTCCAAAATTACATCCAAAGAAAGCTCGCTTTATTGCTTCACGTACTACAAGTAATTTTTCTATTCTATGTACGTCTTGTCTAAAAAGGCATGTTTCTGATAAGCTAGTGTCGGGAGGCATTCTGCAATTGTGATAGTTTCTAGTTTTATTTTGTTTTATAGCACCACAAGTATTTTCTTCGCGTTGTGTCTAGTGGAATTTGTTACAACAGAACTAGTTTGATAGAAACACTATTATTATTGGTTGGAATAAGCCCCTTATTCCACGATTACAAATAAAGTATTTAATACAAATAAGCTGTCATTTTTCTTAAAGTAAAATGCGAACAGAAAAGTACGTAGCTTAAAGGAGTAAGTCAAATAATATGTAAGCCGCTCTTACGCTAAATTGGTAAACTTGATTTAACGCGAAAGCAGATTCACAGAAGAAGTGCGCGTTCGACAGCCGTGCATGCCTTCTTTATCGGGTGCTGTTACTTGTGCAGGTCATCGGGGTTAATTGATCATGCATCTATATTTTTGCAAATCAATTCAGCTTAACTGATTTACGCACATCTGGTGAGCTCAATCCCTGACCAAGCCTATGAAATAAATGACCGAACTTATATGCAAAATAACGCTGACGGGGTTTCTTCTCTGTCAGCAGCTGTGCAGAAGGTGGAATTACACCAACCCTCTCGGCAACAATAAGCACAAATAACTTACATTTTTAAAATATGTGCATTTGCTTAACCAATGCAACTGTACGACTATTGAACAAGTATTTATAATTAACATGTATATGCATGAGGCATACCGTATAATGATTTATTGCTTATGGATATATGTTGTTAATCAATGTAAAGCACCAACATAATTTTTGCATTTTTACTTTTTTCAGGAAAGAAAGCGCTAAATGGAACAGATGGATATGACGAGTATAATATATCAACGATACACAAACACGATAATTACAATAATAATACCAAAAAATTCGATATTGCATTAGTCAGACTCAGTCAAAAGATAAACCGGAAACTCGAGCTGCTGCCAGTTTGCTTATGGGACAAAACAATTCAAAGTATATTTATTGTTTAAACTTATACATTTTAATGAAAGAGAATATGTTTTTAACAGACTCGACGAATAGATGTTTATTAAGCTTACAAAAAATTTACTTTTGAACACCCTCGACGGATAGATGTTTATTTAGCTTGCAAAAAGTCGCTTTTGAACAGCCTCGGTGGATAGATGTTTATTTAGCTTGCAAAAAGTCGCTTTTGAACAGCTTCGACGAATAGATGTTTATTTAGCTTACAAACAGGTGTTTTGATCAGCTTCAACGAATAGATCTTTAATACATCAAAGATAATGTTTAATGTTATTTGAGTAGAATCTTTTTTCAAATATATATTTTTTTAATTATTATAACATCCCCAATTTTGAGAAGGCATATCAATTTTGCTATTGCCGTCAGTCTGTTGGTTTGTCCGTCCGTCTGTCTGTTCGTTACAACATTGTGGGTTAAGGGGCTATTTTCTTTGTTATTTTCTTTTGTCTTCTTAAGGGCATTCAGTTTGTCTGGCTTTCACAGGTCAAACTCTTGGCCGGATGTCAATGAATCTTCATAGGAGTCATCTGTACCATCCTTAGATGTGCATATGGCCGCCATATGGCCGCCACGCTCTGCTTCACTACACAAAACGTCCACCAGAGTTTTAAATAGAAAAATATTTTCCGGCTATTACATGTTGAATTGCTCATTGGCTTTAAACGAAAATGCACAGGAGTGTTCAGTACTATAAGTTGTGCATATCACCGGCAAGTCTCACTTGCAGAGATAAATAAATAGAAAAATCTCGCCTGGCTTTCAAAGATCTGCTAGTGGCATCAAAGGAATGATCAGTATAATTTCTTGTTTTGGTAGATATATTTTTGCAACAAAAAAAAGAAAACTTCCAGTACAGATTAAAAGTGAAAGGACTCTTTTTAAAGTGACATTAAATAAAATCCATCCGGTTGTATTTTTGTTGTTTATTAGATTTGTAATTAAAATAGTATTTATTTGAACGTTCGACGGTTAACAAATTCTGGGTTTATTTCGTTTAAGAGCCTAAGTGCAAAACCAATGATTACAACAAATTGCAATTCATTGGATGTACCATAATGTCAATCAGTAGAGAGTGACGTAAATTTCGAGTCTAGGTGATGTTCGACAACTGTCGATAGCTATCTTTAGTACTGTTTGACCAACTAAACGTACAGTAAATATTCCACAACATTCTTTAATTCTGATAACTTTCTTTCCGTCTCGAAATAAAGTGTAATGTGGAAATTAATATTTTGTTTTATTGCTATTTTTGTTTACATACCTATCAATTCGCTTTATTATTGCAATTATTTTCCCGATAACACTTTTTAAGATTATTATTATAAGTATTTTTATATCGCTCAATAAGGTTAATATTATAAATTACTACATTACTCTATTTATTTTTAATATTTAACTGTATCGCCTTTTAACGTTTTTATTAGTAACGATGTTAGACTTTAAAGTTATTCTATGTTATGATATCGCTATAATAACGTACGACATGTTGTTACATCTCATATTTTATGTCACTTCATTTAACGCTCTATCAGGTTATGTTTTATATCATTGCTCTTCAATTGTATAATACCATACCGCTATATCAGAACGATTTAGTGAATTGTTTCGTTTTCGTTTCGTTATTTCCGGTGAATGTATATAATAAAAAAGTGCTACAATTAATCAGTTTATATGTCACGACTGTTCTCATTCAATTTATAATATAAAGCGATTTTGCTCACTCAATGTTATTTTATGTTAAGAGATCTTGTTCTGTTCTGTTACCGGTCTAATTGGTTATTATTTGTTACGATATCGCTCATTAATATTCTAAAATGTTATGTTTATAGGATAACATACCGTTCTTTATGGTCATCGTATGTTATTATATCGCTAAATTACGTTTGCATATTTCACAATATTGCTCTTAAAGGTTATAACATTGCGGTAATTTTCAATAAAATTGTCAAATGTTACGATATTGCTTTGTAAGGTAATTTTATTACTCGATACCGCACTGTTACGTACGATTTTCTACCTTTTGATCAATTATGTTATCATAATAAATTATGTTGCAATATCGCTTTTTTATGCTTTTATATATAAGAATATTGCTCTCCAAGTTTAATGAAAAATTTGATATCGCACGTTTAGGTAAATGTTTGTTAAGATATCACTAGATTAGGGTATAATATGTTACGATATTGCTTTTTAAGGTTATTACATGTGACGACATTGCTCTACTAGGTTTTATATGTTATGATATCGAACATTTAGGTAATTATATGTTACAGCATGTACGCTTTCCTTGTATTATATTTAAAGTAAGGATATGGCGCAGTTTTGTTAAGTGTTACAATATTGTTCTATATATGTTTGTTTTAATTTTTTTTTTGCTTTTCCTCTTATTACATTATATGTGACTTTATTTACAAAAATATTGCAGAAGAAACTAGAGTTACCTATGAAAAACTTTTTACTAAAACATATGGCGTCGTCACTGGATGGGGAAGAACAAACTCGTTATCGACGACGAAACTTGCAGACACATTGAAACAAATGCAAATGGAAGTGAAATCACCAGAGGAATGTCTTGAAAACTTGACGCCTAAAGAGCAGACTCATATCAGCACTGACCTTATGTTCTGTGCTGGAGGAAGCGGTTCGTATTGAAAATGCAATTATGTAACAGGTGCTTTATCGCTCTCTGGTTTATATGTTTCTGGAGACTTTATCAATACTACAATCTATAGAAAGTTTTAAAAAGGAGCATGCAGTATTTATCGATATTGGATTCTTTATGCCTATTTGATTAAATTACGCTCACACCTTTTCATTGAAACATAAAGTTTCAGTGACGTTTGTTTTCCATTTCGTTAATTAATTGTTAGATATAAAGTTATTCAATATTTTGTGTATTTTTAAGCAAATTGACGTCGACTTAACCGATGTGTGTCTGTGCTTTTTTGAAGCAAATGACGATATTCCTTTGTGAGCACGTATTCTACATCAAAATGTAATGTACCATTCAAGTTCTGAAAGCCAGTTTGGTAAATTGCGCTAGGTGTAATGTATTGGCGGATACGAAAGTATTGAAACCATCAAAAATCAGCGTTTTTTAAGATTTATTATTGTTGCATGTGAAAATTGTTGAAATATAGATAGCACTAATAATTTTCTGCTAACACATTCTAAAAAGAGATTGTGGGTGGTAAGACCCAAATCGTTGACACATGCCCAGGCGATAGTGGCGGTCCTTTTGTTGTTCGGCATCCTGTGGATGAACGCAAATTTATACAGACTGGTAAGTTGTACTCCATGTTATGTGCAATTCGTATTATTACTCTTGAATAATTTTATTACAAAGTTAAGTGGAAAGGCCAGCATTGGGCACATTTTCCTAAATTATTTCAAATATTGTTAAAGTAGTTATCGCATTCTGCTTAAAAAAAGATGCTGATCAAGGTCTTAGTGATATTATATTTTGCGAACAGCTCATGTAATAGAAATGTTCATTAGGAAGGAAGAAACAATGTAAAATAAACAAAAAAATCCGCTCATTTAGGGATAGTTTCATTTGGGTTCGGATGCAAGGAAAAGGGAAAATATGGATTCTACACCAAGCTCACAGAAAAACTGCTCGACTGGATAAATGATACAATAGAGAAAGTAGAAAAGAAAAGTAAGAACCTTTTAAACCACAGTAAATGGTATCTGATTAAAACTAAACAATAATAATACTCTTCATGTGTAAATAGAATAATGTGACGCATATTTCATATTAGACATTGGGGAAACTTTAACAAAAGAAACTGTGTTTATTAAATAAATTAGTTTTAAGCTCGACTATCCGAATAATAAAACAAGAGCTGTCGGTAGGACAGCAACGCTCGACTATTCTTAGTGCTTGATAGTAAAAAAAATGCTTGATACAGTTACCTCCTCCTGTTTACAGGCTGGGGTCATGATGGTGAACAAGTGTGCAAAGTTTCAAAGCCATATGTTAATGGACTTTGAAAATATTTAAAGTATTACAAAAACTTTAACGTAAATTCTAAGTCGAAAAAGGGGCATAATTCTGTCAAAATGGTTGAAAGAGTTACCTCCTCCTGTCTACAGGTTGGGGTCATGATGGTGAACAAGTGTGCAAAGTTTCAAAGCCATATGTCAATGGACTTTGAAAATATCTGAACTATTACAAAAACTTTAACGTAAATTCTAAGTCGAAAAAGGGGCATAATTATGTCAAAATACTTGATAGAGTTACCTCCTCCTGTTTACAGGTTGGGGTGATGATGGTGAACAAGTTTGCAAAGTTTCAAAGCCATATGTCAATGGACTTTGAAAATATTTGAACTATTACAAAAACTTTAACATAAGTGGTTACGCCGACGCAGACGCCGACGCCGACGCCGACGCTCGGGTGACTACAATAGCTCTACTTATTCTTATCGAATAGTCGAGCTAATGAGATGTCCTAGTCCCCGAGTGCCGGCGTACACATAACCACTTATGTTATAAAGTTTGTATACAACATCAAATATTTTAAAAGTACAGTGACAAATAGCTTTGAAACCTCACAATCGTGTTCATAAGCATGCCTCAGCCTGTCCACAGGAGAATATAACTCTTTTAAGCATTTTGGCATATCTATACCCTTTTCCGACTTAGAATTTACGTAAAAGTTTGCAAAACACCTCAGATATTTCTATTTACATTGCGGCCATTTTATTTTTTTAGATATTTTTTGGCACACTTCACTTTTTAAAGCAGATTTCCTGACAGTTTCATGCTTGAATCACCGTTTGCACTATTTTGACTGCAGATACCTTATTTCCTGCCCAACTAGCGAATAAATTATCAGTAAGTTGTCTTAATAGTTTAAAAAAATACTTTTGTTACTGCATGTATTTACTTTTTCTAAGTTATCTCCGTTATACATTAAAATGAGATTAAAACCATGAATACAGAACAGACTGCATCTGAAATGTTTTAAAGACACAACATTTGATTGCACCAAACTGATTTATTTGTTATAATAGTTGCATTGTATTTTTTGACATTTTTATAGCAGACAAAGTTTTTTTTTATAGGCTTTTCATATTCACTATAAATGGTCACTGATGTGTGAATCTATTAATTCTGCAGTAATTATCACCAGTAATTATCATATATAACCTTTTAACGATTTACAACAATGCACGTCTTTACATTACATTATATGTCAATGCCCCTTTTCCGAGTTAGAATTTACTTCAATTTACTTTAAAAGTTTGTGTACCAGCTTAAATAGTTTTAGTTGCATTGACACTTGGCTTTAAAACTTTGTACATTTTGATTTTTATTTAGTGATTTAATCGCTGTCAAAAATATATTATTGTTTACATTTCTGTGTTACTTTCACATTCTTGCGGTTTTGGGATATACACAGTGATACAGTTTTGAGCATAATTATCAAAGGGAAATGGGAAGCAACAATGTCATGTCTTAAATTTTGTTAACGTATTGTACACATTTTCTTTTCCCCTAACAAAAGATACATTGCTATTCTTTTATAGACATTTGGGGCTTCATCGGCTTAGTAGTTAATGTGGTTGTAATTTACCCATTTGTCATTTTCAATTGTGTAAGGCATAAAAAAGATACCGATACCTAGCGATCTTATAACTTCTTATAAAATGCATGCTCGTATTTGAAACAAAATATCTCAAGAAGGAGATAGGACACGGTTTGTATAATAGGCATTCTCATTTACTTACCACTGTTTGATCACTTTGAAGACATCAAAAGAATTTCATGTTTTTTTTAAATCACCAGCAAAATGCGCAAAGCCGAAAGAGGTGCAAAATGCAGTACTCAAAGACGAATACGACAATATAGACAAGTTTGACGAAGGAGATAAAGTAGAGTATTATTGTGAGCTTGGATACACGATGGAAGGTATAACAAGTAAAAGGTGGTGCAGAAATACTAAATGGACGGAAGTTCGATTTACATGTAATCGTACGTAAAACCGCTATTCTTAAAATATTTTTAAGTCTAAATTTGAAAACGATTTTTCAACAGCTGCTAACGTTTTACTGAGATCAAATAGCAACACAACCTCTTCTCGTTTGTGTAACACAGATTGAAAAACGGAACACATTATAATTAGAATAATGTTACATACAAATTGTGTTATTTTTCTTTTTTGACATAAGATCATAATAGAACAAGTATGCTATCCTGCAAATATGAAGCTTTGATTTAAACGGATTTCGAGTCAATCTGTTTCCTCTTAGTTGTATATAACATATGATGGATTCAGAGAGACAATGTTCTGCTACAGTAATTGATACTTTAGATTGTTTAAATTAGTAATTGTATTGTCATGTGCACAATGGTTTACCTATATTGTTTTTAACTAGGCGTATTTTAGTGATTATACTAATTTCTGTCAAGTTTTTAAAAAAAAATAATTTTCATTCATTTTTTGTACGGATTGTGATGAGCTATATAAATCAGTTTAAAGTTTGTCGTCAGATTTTGTAAGATCAATACTTGGTTCATTATAGATAACATAAATTACATATAACATGTCAAATATTTCAGAAATTGCTCTAATTTTGTTGGTAACAGGGTAGAAATTCTGTGATAAAATAGTTAATTTTGCTATATTGTACATACTTTTATATTAACCTTCTGAATTTTTTTCTTTTGTGAAAATTAACATTATTATCTTAAGTGTGGATCTTCTTTCGAAATTTATTTTATTCGTAATTTCGCGGCACTTCTAAAGATAAAAATATGTAGGTTTTTATCACATTTATAAACATAAAATATTGTCAATATAACTCCAGTATACAACTTTCATCTAGAGAAAAAAAAAACATTACATACTATAATATTTATTAAGCAGATATATTAATAAATTAACAATCATTACTGAGCTCTACAAATAAACTATTATATTCTACTCAGGTCTATGTATAGACAATCACTTATTGCTCACGGTGTAGGATCAGGTTCAAGATAATTCCAAACATGGCACTTGTCATTGACTGCCTGTCAGTGCTGTTTTGATTGTGTTCGTGTCTTGTGGCATTCTAATGTAAAAGTTGCATTGTTGCAACGCCCTTCATGCACATATTGACCAGAGTTATAAAAGAATTGACTCTGACCGATAGGAATCGTATTTCTTAACTCACAAAACAACTCACTAAACATTACTTTGCTTTTATTAACCACGACATTCTAATAAACTTAAAAAGTTACAATGTTTGTAACGTACTTGCATCAACAAATGATGCTACAAAAAGAGATATATCAGTTTTGCATAAAATCAGCGGCCACGGTGGATGCCATCTTGAATTCTGAAGAGGTATAAAAGCGGATTTTTTTAAAGATTAAAGATATCGTTAAGGATAAACTTTATGCATGCTAAGTGTTAGTTTCAGCTCTTTCCAAACCTAATTCACTAGATGCGATATTATGCACCTCAAATTTATATGGCGGCCATTTTGAAACTTTGGAGATTTTTTTTTTTGCTAGCTTCACTTCAAAAATCTACATGGTCTAAAGATGATTTCCTGAAAGTTCCATGCTTGAATTACCATTTGCACTATTTTGACTGCATATAACTTATTTCCCGCCCAACTAATAAATCAATTATCAGTAAATTACTTGGATAATTTATAAAGGACGTTTGTTACTGCATGAATTTGCTTTTTCTACATTATCTCCGTTATACATTAAAGTGTGATTAAAGCCATGTATATAGAATAGTTTGCATCTGAAATTTTTAAAGACGCAACATTTGATTGCACCAAACTGATTTATTTGTTAATAATAGTTGCATTGTATTTTTTTACATTTTTATAGCAGACAAAGTTTTTTGGGGGGCTTTTTAAATTCACTATAAATAGTCACTGATGTGTGAATCTATTAATTCTGCAGTAATAATCACCAGTAATTATCATATATAACCTTTTAACGATTTACAACAATGCACGTCTTCACATTACATTATATGTCAATGCCCCTTTTCCGAGTTAGAATTTACTTCAATTTACTTTAAAAGTTTGTGTACCAGCTCAAATAGTTTTAGTTGCATTGACACTTGGCTTTAAAACTTTGTACATTTTGATTTAGTAAGTGATTTAATCGCTGTCAAAAATATATTATTGTTTACATTTCTGTGTTACTTTCACATTCTTTCGTTTTTGGGATATACACAGTGATAAGTTTTGAGCATAATTATCAAAGGGAAATGGGAAGCAACAATGTCATGTCTTAAATTTTGTTAACGTATTGTACACATTTTCTTTTCCCCTAACAAAAGATACATTGCTATTCTTTTATAGACATTTGGGGCTTCATCGGCTTAGTGGTTAATGTGGTTGTAATTCACCCATTTGTCATTTTCAATTGTGTAAGGCATAAAAAAGATACCGATACCTAGCGATCTTATAACTTCTTATAAAATGCATGCTCGTATTTGAAACAAAATATCTCAAGAAGGAGATAGGACACGGTTTGTATAATAGGCATTCTCATTTACTTACCACTGTTTGATCACTTTGAAGACATCAAAAGAATGTCATGTTTTTTTTAAATCACCAGCAAAATGCGCAAAGCCGAAAGAGGTGCAAAATGCAGTACTCAAAGACGAATACGACAATATAGACAAATTTGACGAAGGAGATAAAGTAGAGTATTATTGTGAGCTTGGAAACATGATGGAAGGTATAACAAGTGAAAGGTGGTGCAGAAATACTAAATGGACGGAAGTTCGATTTACATGTAATCGTACGTAAAACCGCTATTCTTAAAATATTTTTTAAGTCTACATTTGAAAACGATTTTTCAACAGCTGCTAACGTTTTACTGAGATCAAATAGCAACACAACCTCTTCTCGTTTGTGTAACACAGATTGAAAAGCGGAACACATTATAATTAGACTAATGTTACATACAAATTGTGTTATTTTTCTTTTTTGACATAAGATCATAATAGAACAAGTATGCTATCCTGCAAATATGAAGCTTTGATTTAAACGGATTTCGAGTCAATCTGTTTCCTCTTAGTTGTATATAACATATGATGGATTCAGAGAGACAATGTTCTGCTACAGTAATTGATACTTTAGATTGTTTAAATTAGTAATTGTATTGTCATGTGCACAATGGTTTACCTATATCATTTTTATAGCAGACAAAGTTTTTTGGGGGGCTTTTTAAATTCACTATAAATAGTCACTGATTTGTGAATCTATTAATTCTGCAGTAATAATCACCAGTAATTATCATATATAACCTTTTAACGATTTACAACAATGCACTTCTTTACATTACATTATATGTCAATGCCCCTTTTCCGAGTTCGAATTTACTTCAATTTACTTTAAAAGTTTGTGTACCAGCTCAAATAGTTGAAGTTGCATTGACACTTGGCTTTAAAACTTTGTATATTTTGATTTTTATTAAGTGATTTAATCGCTGTCAAAAATATATTATTGTTTACATTTCTGTGTTACTTTCACATTCTTGCGTTTTTGGGATATACACAGTGATAAGTTTTGAGCATAATTATCAAAGGGAAATGGGAAGCAACAATGTCATGTCTTAAATTTTGTTAACGTATTGTACACATTTTCTTTTCCCCTAACAAAAGATACATTGCTATTCTTTTATAGACATTTGGGGCTTCATCGGCTTAGTGGTTAATGTGGTTGTAATTCACCCATTTGTCATTTTCAATTGTGTAAGGCATAAAAAAGATACCGATACCTAGCGATCTTATAACTTCTTATGAAATGCATGTCCGTATTTGAAACAAAAAATCTCAAGAAGGAGATAGGACACGGCTTGTATAATAGGCATTCTCATTTACTTACCACTGTTTGATCACTTTGAAGACATCAAAAGAATTTCATGTTTTTTTAAATCACCAGCAAAATGCGCAAAGCCGAAAGAGGTGCAAAATGCAGTACTCAGAGACGAATACGACAATATAGACAAATTTGACGAAGGAGATAAAGTAGAGTATGATTGTGAGCTTGGATACACGATGGAAGGTATAACAAGTGAAAGGTGGTGCAGAAATACTAAATGGACGGACGTTCGCTTTACATGCAATCGTACGTAAAACCGCTTTTCTTTAAATATTTGTCAACAGCTGCTAACGTTTAACTGTTAGGAAATTAAATAGCAATACAACCTCTTCGTGTTTTGTGTGACACAAATTCAAAAATGGAACACATTATAATGAGAATCACGTTACATACAAATTGTGTTGTTTTTCTTTTCTCTTTTAACATAAGATCATAATAGTATAAATATTATATCCTGCAAAAATGAAGCTTTGATTTAAACGGATTTCGAGTCAATCTGTTTCCTCTTAGTTGTATATAACAGATGATGGATCCCGAAAGACAATGTTCTGCAACAATAATTGATACTTTAGATTGTTTAAATTAATAATTGTATTGTCATGTGCACAATGGTTTATTTTGTTTGTTTAGTGATAATACTAATTTCTGTCAAGTTTTTTTTTTAAATGATTTTCAATCATTTTAGTACGGATTGTGATGAGCAATCATTTTAGTACGGATTGTGATGAGCTATATAAATCAGTTTAAAGTTTGTCGTCAGATTTTGTAAGATCAATACTGTGTTCATTATAGATAACATAAATTACATATCACATGTCAAATATTTCAGAAATTGCTCTAATTTTGTTGGTAACAGGGTAGAAATTTGGTGTTAAAATAGTAAATTCTGTTATATATTACATAGTTTTATTATATATTGACCTTCTGAATTTTTTTCTTTTGTGAACATTGACATTATAATCTTATGTGTGGATCTTCTTTTCGAAATTTCTGTTATTCGTAATCTGGGAGCGCTTCTAAAGAAAACATATGTAGGTTTTTTTAACACATTTATAAACATAAAATATTAACAATATAACTACTTTCATCTAGAGAAAAAAACATTACATACTATATTATTTATTAAGCAGATATATTAATAAATTAACAATCATTACTGAGCTCTACAAATAAACTATTATATATTACTCAGATCTATGTATAGACAATCACTTATTGCTCATGGGGTAGGATCAGGTTCAAGATAATTCCAAACATGGCACTTGTCATTGACTGACTGTCAGTGCTGTTTTGATTGTGTTCGTGTCTTGTGGCATTCTTATGTAAAAGTTGCATTGTTGCAACGCCCTTGATGCACATATTGACCAGAGTGAAAAAAGGAACTGACTCTGACCGATAGGAATCGTATTTCTTTCTTAACTCACAAAACAACTCACTAAGCATTATTTTGCTTTTATTAACCACGTCATTCTATTAAAAGTTAAAAAGTTACAATTTTTGTAGCGGATTTGCATCAACAAATGATGCTACAAGAAGAGATATATCAGTTTTGCATAAAATCAGCGGCCATATTAGCTGCCATCTTGAATTCTGAAGAGGTATAAAAGCGGATTTTTTAAAGATTAAAGATATCGTTAAGGATAAACTTTATGCATGTTTAGTGTTAATTTCAGCTCTTTTCAAACCTATTTCACTAGATGTGACATTATGCACCTCAAATTTATATGGCGGCCATTTTGAAACTTTGGAGATATTCTTTTTGCTAGGTTCACTTCAAAAATCTACATGGTCTAAAGATGATTTCCTGAAAGTTCAATGCTTGAATCACCATTTGCACTATTTTGACTGCAGATAACTTATTTCCCGCCCAACTAATAAATCAATTATAAGTAAATTATTTGGATAATTTAAAAAGGACTTTTTTTACTGCATGAATTTGCTTTTTCTACGTTATCTCCGTTATACATTAAAATGTGATTAAAGCCATGTATATAGAATAGTTTGCATCTGAAATTTCTAAAGACCCAACATTTGATTGCACCAAACTGATTTATTTGTTATTAATAGCTGCATTGTGTTTTTCGACATTTATATAGCAGGCAAAGTTTTTTTAGCATTTCATATTCACTATAAAATTTAATAGTCACTGATGTGTGCCTCTATTAATTCTGCGGCAATTATCTAACAACCTTTTAACGATTTACAACAATGTACGCCTTTTTATTCATACATTGCTTCACTTAAACGTGTTATCTTTTGCAATTTATTTACATTATATTACTCCCAAAAATAGTAAAGGACGGAAACAGCGAGAAGATGCATGATTATTGATGAAGAATGACAAACATAAATTTGAAATGTTTGCCATAAATCTATTCAGTAGCAATTTTAAAACAAACAAAAATTCCCGTTAAAATTCAAAATGAACCATGAATATGAATGCATAATTACGTATCATATTATTTATTTAGGTATTATTTCAAATGGAGACATTTCAATTGATGAAAAACTAGCTGGAAATAACGGTTATAAAGGTATTAAAGTTTTGCTAATATGTACATGATCTGCAATGTATGTGTTTATATGTTTATAGCATATGAGCAAAAATCTATATATACATGTATATGATGCAAACATTTTCAAACACAAACTAATAAAAAGAAATTCACTTAATTATTGTAATTGTCACGAATTTTCAATTTGTGAAAAATCAAAAGATATCCATTGTACATTAGAAATAGGCTTACCCTAAACGACAACGCAAGCGGAAACATAACAGTATGATCATAAGAATTATATTGTTAAATTAATTATTTGAATACAGAAATAATAGTATAGCACTGATAGGTCGAAGAAATGTTGCACTATGTAAAGACAAAAGTGAAATAAAATATCAAGCAACATTATTTACTACCCAATGAACAGAACAATGCAGTTAATCAGGTAATAAGCTAAATATACAAGCATTTACGCAATCGTTCTTTGAATAAAAAAATCAATTGATGAGACTTTATATTTTAGAGTATATTGGCGACAGAGAATTTACTGTGATACAGCTTGATATGATTATAGATAAAAGTGACAGGAGGCCTTCAAGGTAAGACTGTGAAATTTAATTTAACTCATTTTCTATTTAACATGCCCAATCAAACGAACCCAGATTGAGAATGCTTTTGAACCTTCAGAATCAATGCCAAGGGCACTGTTACTAAAATATATTATTGATTTTTTTATGAAAATAACTTGAGGAATGAGATAATGTTATGAAAATTTGAATATAGCAAGCTTATATGAATACTCCGGTTGGCTGACTTTGAGACCCCTGGGTTAAATGTTAAGGTCACTGCTACTAATGACACGGTTCAGAACTGTTAACTTATTAGGGGAGATAATGTGTAAGCTGTCGGATAACTCGGTTGGTAAAGCTGCGGCAAGGTATGTCGAGGGTCTCGGGTTCGAGTCCCGGTCAGGCTGTACATTTATCCCATACTGGCGCCCAACTTGGGACCGCGACTGCATATCGCTTAGAGTTTAATTCACATTGCTCTGTTATTCGAGGACGAATTTAAATATAGCGGGGGAGTATGTTTCGATTCAGAATTGTTCACTACACAGGGGAAAAAGTAAGCGGCAAGATAGGTCAGTCAGTAGAGGTGCGACACGGTATTCCGATAGTCCAGGGTTCAAGTCCCGGTTAGGCTGTACATTTCTCTCACACTGTGACACGAACATAAAACATGAATGATTACCTGACAATAACAAAATACGATTATTAGCTATTGCATTCAACCTTGATAAATAGCGACATCATGCAAAAACCAAGGTAAGGATTGATTCCTGGGCCCCCTGGATTCAATTTCAAGGTTGTCACTGCTACTAAAATGGAAAATGGATTCCGGACAATAACTAGTATACGGGATTGGAAATTGTAAATCAAACTTGGTACAAAGCAAGTTTTTATAAATACCTAGATTGGTTGGGTTTAAAACTCCATGGTTTCAAGGTCAAGGTCACTATTATTCAAAATAGAAAATGGTTTCGGTACAATAACTAGAGCTATAAAGGATATTCTGTTAATATACATATACATATTACTGGCATATAGCAAGTTTATGAATATACCTAGTTTGATATTGCTTTGGGACCCCTAGGCATGAGGTCAAAGTTACTTGTACTTAACTAGAAAGATGGTTTCTTAACAGATAATTGTAAACAGATCGTTATATCCTTTTAACAAGGCAATTAATTAAACATATTATTAGTACACTGATGTATCATCCAAAAATATAGTTCGAGTTAAAATTGTGCTTTAAACCTTTCATTTAAAAATAAATTAGGGTATAATTAAAGATAAGCGATAGCTTTATTTTACATTGTCATTGTCGTCCTGTCCGGATTTTAAAGAACGTATCTTTGTCTTTAGATATCAATAATGTCGGGGTAGTTAGGAGACTGGCCTTAAATGGGTATTTTTTAAAGAGTTTGTATGGTCGAAAGTAGAAGAAAATAGTTGCTTTAGTAAATGTTTCTAAACGAATTTAATACTGAATTTGCATTTAAGTACATGCATACAAAATTGCATTGACGTCAATATCGACAATAACTGAGTACATTGATTTTGAATATTTTTAAATACATTCAATGCAAATTTAGATTTTAAGATATGCTTGCAAATCCTATACAATGAGCAGATCACCACTGTTATGTATCAAAGTCATTTACAAAACTAGTTTAAATCTTAATATATTTTACCTTCCAGACCGGAAAGTTACCGTGCAATTGTTGACAAAGACGAAACAAAACGTTGGCAGATAAATGTGCCATTTGAAATTGATGACGGTATTGGTAAGTTGCCAACTACGCATTGAAGTCGTTATTTTTCATGCATAATATGTAAAGATGTTTATAGACTCTAAATGTTTATTCAATAAACGGAAAGTATCCGAATTAGAACCTCTTGATATCGTTTTTATAAATAAAGTGAAACGTTTCATAATTATGTATGTGATATGTAAACAAACAAAAATATGTTTGGTCAAGCATTTTGAAATGACTTGTTTCATTTAAGGTATTACGGCCCTAATGGGCACTATAAGGAACTAAAAAATTGACATCATAGGTCAGATATATACCTTAAAGTACACCTGTATGCAAAATTTAAACAAAGTTTACCGTACGGAAATCAAGTTATGGCCATTTTTCTGAACTCAAGCAAGGATGTTATGGGGGCTCTTTTTTAGAAATGAGGAACCATTAAATAATCTGCAATAACATTCTAACGAAAAATGTTTTTCCATTAATTTTTGGTAAGAAACAAATTGTACTATTCAGCTAACAAACCACATAAGCAAAATTATGGCTTCTACTTAAAATTTATGAAAATGTTACCCTACCCATTCCATTTTTACCACGTGTCTGACCATTTTCCTACTTAGGGAGCCTAATTTATATACTCCTTAAAATTTACCTAAATGAGTGCCTGTTTTCAAAGTTTCCCTAAATTTTGTAAGAAGTATATTGGTTGATCTTGTAGAATATAAAATACTTTTACCGTCTAGTTTTGATTTTATTACACATTGACAATATCAGGTACCATATTTATTACTAGATTTAGTATAATGTAGCCAATAAATACCTATAAAGATTAAAAAAAAAACAGAATTAAACACTTTTTTCTTTCAAAATGGGACATGAGAGATACATAAATAATGTTAAAAGAAAAACAGAAAGAAAAAAAAGTTGACCCTTCTGGGGATTGAACCCACGGCTCTCATTTTCAATGTAGTAAACAGTAGTTCTAGCCTATTTGAATACTCTTCAAAACGGAGGTAATGCATTAGGATGGAAATACCTTAAACATAATATTTAAACATAATTCATATTGTCAATATTTAAACCTTTGTTTCGAAGTCAAAGGGCACACTTAGTGAATCTAATCATTTGAACATATACCGCGTTGCTTTTATGGCCGTCGAACAGTAGGAGACATATATGCTTTTGTTTTTGCCCTGGCTGTCTGAAAAAATGTTATGAACTCTTCTACAAGAATCAACTAGCGTAAATTATCAAAATGCGTTTCAACTTTTTTTGACAAACACCAGCGATCAAACAATTGTTCTTTAATTCTTGCAAACTCAACATGAGTTTGGCCACTCACTCTTACTGTTCCTAAATTTTTGTCTGTATGCCTATGGGATCAATTCATAGCCTTTCAGAATAACCTCTTTGACAAAATCATAATTTGCGCACTGCTCAAAGCTTAGTTGAGTATAAATTTCACTGGCTTTCCCTATTAAGACACTCTACAATAAAAAAGTCCAGTGCTCTTTTGGCCATTTTAAATTGCCTGCAACATTTTCAAAATGTAAGAAAAAAATATCAACATCACTCTCATCGAAAGTAGGTAAAAATTTAATAAAGTTAACATCAGAAGGTTTGTTGGCTATTATATGTGCCTGATTTTCATTAGCCTCTATTTTTTCATTTATAATTGAAATTGTCTTTCGCGTTCTTTTCCTCAAGCTCTCTTAAAATTCTGTCTTGTTCTTTTTCTTTTAAAATTATTTATTGTTCTACTACAAATCGGTAGTGTTCTTTTTCTATTAATCTTTCTTTTTCATCATACTCTAATTTTAACCCCAATTCATATTCACGTTCTCTTAATTTGATATCGTGTTCACCTTTGAAATCATTTTAGCTGTCACTGTAACCCAAACTCTGATTTACTGTTTTTATTAAAGATAGAAAATCTTCTGAAACAATTTTTTCTACTACCAAATATTCAATCAATCTATTTGACACATCTTGTTTTCTCAATGACACTTACAAACCACATAAATTACCAAAAAAGAGTTCAAAGTATGTATAAAAAGCATTTACTGCGTTATTAACGCAGTAGAAATATAGTTGTAAATACTGAACAAATCAATAATTAATCGCACATTATATGTAAAATATTACTTTTGATTATATTGAAATATTTTGACTTATCTGAAGGCATGTAGCTTTAAAATGTTTTGCAAGATTAAGCAAATCCGACTTCTTGGCCAAAAGAAATTTATCCTGGTAATCAAAAGACATTTTGATTAGTTGCTGTGTTAAACAAACAAGAATTTTTGGTTGACAGCTTAACGCCGCCTATACTCAACTATTAATAAATAAAGAAACACAAATGTATGTCTTTTAACAAAATTCTTTACCGAACGAGCTCATATTAGGAGCTAAACGCAACAAACAAGATAACGCAGCAACAAATTTTACAATTTTTAAATCAAGAAAAACAATTATTTACAATAATACAGAAAAAAATGAAAGTAAAGTTTCACTCGCAATTATTCACAATTCAAATTTAAACAATGTCCTAATGTTAAGTCACTGCTCGAAATTCAATTATCCACAACTTAAGTAGTTACCTACTGAGCTATTCAGGAAAAAGATACTTAACACATTTAAAATAAAGCCTATTTACATAACAAATAGGTATTCAGTACCTTTCCGAACGAGGGACTTTAAAAGAGCAAAAACCAAAGTGTTCCACCTTTGGAAAAGCCCATGCTTCATTTACAAAGGGTGATATTGTTTTTGCTGTCTACAGGATAGATATGACAATACCTAGTTGAAAACATCTTAATCATTTGTTGGTTTGTTTGTTAGGATTTTTACGGCACATCAACACATAACTGGCCATATCGTGCTGAATGCTATAATAGACTTAAAACGTTATGTAATGTTTTGTAACTGACAATAAAAATGAGTCAATTAGATCCTAGAGTACAAGTTTATCTTTTTCAAATAATCAATGATGTTTTATGATGGAATTGTATTTAAGAGTTCTTTGAGTGAGTTTACACGATAAAATCTATTACTGACCTGTGAAAAATCACGACATTCAAGAAGAAAATGTTTGACAGTAAAATTTTCATTACAAACTACACAGAAAGGGGCATTGTCATTCGTGAGGAGATAATAGTGGGTAATTTTAGTGTGTCCTATTCGGCATCGAAGAAGAACATTTTGATCATGGCGGTTTGACAGAGATAGAGATGGTGACATGTCAAGAGATGGGTTTATGTCGATAAGTTTATTAAAAACGGCGTTGTCCCAATTTGATTTTCATTCAGACGATATTAGTTTGCTTATTAGTTTTGTTTTAATAATTGTAAAAGTAAAGACACGCGCAGTTGTCCTAAAATCTGGCACCATTTTTAAGCTGTATATGTTTCCTTTCTTTATCCTGGATATTCATTTTGTTCGAAGTTTGTATACTTATAAGTTTTTTGTGTGTTTATTTTTTTAATTCAGGTGATCTACAGGAATTATCCATTCGACTGGCACTTCCTATTTGGGAGCAGTACTCATGCCTTAATTTCTATGACAACAAGCAGGTGTACAACAGATTAGTGTTTAAGATTCCAGAAGATAACTTGTACATATATATTTTAATTTGCATTTAATATGTATTGTGGTCATTTTTGAAAGACTACTTGAACTTTTGATCGGATATTTTCTTAGCCGTTGCTTACGTCAATGAATTAACTTTTCAATACAAAGAACTACTTGTTCGCCTGCTGCTCTCGTGAAGTTCTACATGATTTCATTCTTTTGTTGCTATAAATCATTTGATCCTATTAACAGAAATTGCAGTTTATACATTATTTCATAAAAAGTTTATTCATTTCACGAGTCTTAAGTTTAGTGGAACCCTAACATGCGCTTTGAAGGAATATTTTGCTTCACATTTAATGTAACATTTCAAAGGCAATATGAAAAAATATTTTGATCGTCGTTTCGATATATGTATTCTCACTGATCTCTAAATGTAAAGAAGTGATAAATTGATCTTCGTTTTATTTTTATGATATCTGTATAAATGTGTAAAATATACATTTTTCAAATAGGTGTGGATCAGAAGTTGGAATGAAACAAGGACCTCAAATTATTTACCTTGGGAAAAACTGTTTTGAGGTAGTGTAATACTTTCAATGAAATAAAAAATGACAGGACATGGACTTAAAGGAATGTAAAGTAGTTCAAATAACAATAGTTTCAATAATCATTCAATTAAAAGATAATTTTTCCTTTTCAATCAATATATGATTGATTTATTCTTGTATGTATATTTGAACTGTCTGAAAAACCGTTTTGCTACTTTAACAACTAACTTTATATGCATGATAGTAATTATTGTCGGTGTAACAAACCTACCGTAATCTGTTAAATACAAAATTTGTTTTACGAAACAAAAACAAAAAACAAACAAATATAGAAAAGATTAAGAAGTTGTAACAACGGCGAGAGACGAAAATTGTTTTGAGATCAAGGAGGAATAATAAACGGTTCCGAAATAGAGGTTATATCATTTATTGGTTTATTATATGTAATTTAAAAATATCTGTTTGAACTTGAATGATGAGCGCATTTGTTTTCCAAACTAAAACTGCCGCGCAGTGAGTGCCCCATTTCTCTCGCAAACTTGTAGGATAGTTACGGGTGCCGCATTTGTCTTACAAAGTGAAATAGCTACCGCGCATTGAGTGTCGCATTTTCTCATACAAAGTTCACGCGGGGACTGTACACGAGGGATGGAGTTCTTATGATAACGTGTCAGGAGTTTTTGTGACAACTGTCGCGGAATTCGTCAAAAAACTTTTGCCTTAAAAAACACTCGTCAAAAATGGTAATTTCATCCTTAAAAAGTAAAATTTATATGCTAAATTAAACTTTAATGACAAAGCTTGTCAAACATCTTGTAATATGTGTCAAATACTAATTTATAGTTTTCATTGTATATTGTTTAAAATCTGGTAGTTTTGAGTACAATTACAAAATTATTTGCTATTTTGCACATGTTTATTGTTCTGTTCATTTGTGATCTTCATGCTTGACATATATTATTGTCTAATTATAATGCAAAGTTAAAAACAAAAAGCCCCGACATGATTCAAATGTCCTGAAGTTCTTGTGATAAATTAAAACAAGATTGCATTTGAGAAAAAATGCTATGCAACCGCATTAATACAATACAACACTAAATAGTAGTGTAGGAGCAGATTTTTTTTCTATACAATTGAAGATTGTCATAATGCATAGATCCCTGACCTATCTAATCTGTGCACAATGTTCAAATTTTATAGCTGTACATCAAAGGACAAGAAAGTAGGTCACATCATCGAAATCTAGGTCACCTGACAAACAACATAGAGGACCTATAGATGATGTTATATAGCAAACATCAAAGCTTTATGCCTTGTACCTTCAGACAAAAATATTTTTTATTCTTTTACTATATATATGTACATAATGAAAATCAATGACCCCCGGGGCGGAACCAATTTTGACCCCAGGGCTATAATTTGAACAATCTTGGTAAAGGTTCACTTTGCAAAAACTCATACCATATATTTAACCTCTAGCCTTTGTCAATTCAGAGAAGAAGATTTTCAAGTTTTTACTTTATACATATAAAGAAAACTATCGTCTCTGGGGCAGGGCATTTTTAACACTAGGGGCATAATTAAAACAACTTTAATAGAGGACCTATAGATGATATTATATACCAATTATCAAAGCTCTAAGCCTTGTACCTTTAGACAAGAAGATTTCTTAATTTTTTACTATATGAAAATAGTCAAAATCAATTACCCCTGATGATTTGGCCAATTTTGACCCCATGGCTATAATTTGTACAATCTTGCTAGAGGTTCACTACACAATGTTTCATGCAAAATATCTTAACTCTAGCCTTTGAAAATTTAGTGAAGATGATTATTTAAGTTTTTACTCAATATACATGTACATATAAGGAAAACCTATGGCCCCCGGGGCGGGGCTAATTTTGACACTAGAAGCAAAATTGGAACAACTTTGGTAGAGTACCTATAGATGATATCATTTAACAAAATAAAGCTCTAAGCCTTGTACCTTCAGGCGATATGACCCATGATCCTCCACATCTCCATAGAAATCAGGTTTGCTAAATGTTGAATTCTGCTTAACCCGGTGCTAGTGGGCGTGTACTGTAACTTGCACTTCCCAGTACCGCCCATAAACAGGCTCAATCAAACCGAGCCTGCAACATTTTCAATTTTATTGTGTTGGAATTTCTTTAGGGATTCTGGTTTACTCTATTTTTTGCTAATACCAAGTCGTAATGCTGAATTCAGATTTTACTGTAGATGGTAGCCTATCACCTTCCCCTTTGTGGGCCTATTATTATTTTCTTTGAATTCCTAATCAGTTACAAATTATTTATCATTTAAGGATTAACCAGTCCGTGCTCTGTCTTGGTCCTGTCCAGTCTTTGTTTGGGGTCCGCCTGGGCTCCTTGCCATTGGTTCTTGTTGCTGGGTCGTGTGGGGGTTGCGTTCATTGAACGCCGCCTTTCCTTGTTGTTCTTGTTTATCATATTTTAATATCTCTTGCAGACAGTACACTACTAATTTAAGACCAAAATTATATGCATATTTTTGTGCAAATGATGAGCATATTACGTTTCAGAATGATTAACAACGTTAACCTTGTTGAATTATAAAATATGCTAAAATGTGCCGTAGTTTAGCGCAAGAAGCACAATGACAAAAACAAAAGTTATAACAAGGACTCCAGGACACTTGAAACATCAAACATACGTATGTTAGCAGGGATTTTATGTTTTGCAACATTGCATTATAATGAGGTAATTATGTATACCAAGGATGAATAGCACAAATAAACAGGTCAATATGTACAAATTATCAAATAATTTGGACAATTTACTTAAAACTACGAGATTTTAAACAAGAGGCGTTGAACAATTGACTATAAATTAGTATTTGACACATAGTTCAAGAAAAAAAACTTAATCATTAAAGTATAATAATAAAAATCTGGAAAAAAATGATTCTTCGAAAGCATTAATCACAACAAAATTACAAGAGAGTTGTGCAGACTCGGTTTGATTGGGTATGTACATAAGGGATAATAAATACGTGCAACATCCCTCACGCCCCCTAGCACCCGCTTGAGCGGTACTTAATTCTCTCAACACTTAATAGTTCCAGCATCAATGATCCTGAAGGACCAGAAAAAATATAACAACACTAAAGTGAAGTACGTGGCAACTTTTTACAGCTGCCACACAACTCTTGACACCTGCTGTTATGAAGTATTGAATTCTGGAAACATATTGATTCCTAAAATTACTTTTTTTAAAAGATGAAAATGACTATTTTTGAGTATATACAAATCATTTCCGACAAATTCCGCATTTTAATTGCTGAATTCTGTCCATGCAAACTTAGAAAGGCAGTTGCCCAGCTGGGGCTAGGTTTTCTTTTGTGGACTGTGAAGGATTGTTGTGCACAGTGACTGCCAGTTTCCTCTTGTAAACTAAGAAAGATAACCGCGAAGTGTTTGCTACATTTTATATAGTCAACAGCAAACGATAGCTGCACCATGGTTTTTGCATCGTCTCTTGCAATTGAATAAGAATAAAAGCGATGCGAATCCGCAAAGTGACAAAGATAGCTGCGGGATGGAAGCTGTTGTTTTCTTGTGCCTACTGTCAATGATTGCTGTTCATGTTTACTGACCCGTAGAAGCGCTAAACCCTTGCCGTAGTATCAATAAATGAGGAATTATTTGTACGTTATATATTATAGAGATGTATTTATTACAAATATCATTTTTAAGGTCAAACTTGTCGAAAAAGTAATTATGGAATGTTTTAATCATGTAAGTGTAGAGGATACTTTGTCCAAAGACACGCCATAAAAACTGATTTAATATAACGCTTATTTTGCACAAAAGGCAATGTGCCATAAAACGAAACTATTTGGTCTAATGTCAAGAGTTTTGAAACATATTGTCTTCTCACGAGTGATCAGTCACATCCCTAGTTGTGCATATATCCAGTGCATTCCGTTTGGCTGACAAAAAATGGCTGCCCGAGCGATCAATGGAAAAATCTTGCTCTGCTGTGACAAGTCCAACTTCTGATGGGATTTCAATGAAACTTAAAGAAGTGATCAGTATCAACTGTAGTTATCTATATCAAACAGGTGTGATTGGCACACTACAGTACAGTAGACTACCTAGTTTGGCATGTCGCTGTCATGTCCTGCAGCGCTGCCTAAATTGGTGCCAGAGCTAAAGCTAGACAATATTGTCCAGCCAGACTGCTTTTCTCTCGGGATTAGATAGATATTATCCAGCTTTTACTGGTACAACTTATTGCGGGATTTCGACAAAATTTCACTGGAGTAATCAGAACCATGAAAAGTCGTGCATATCGCCGGTTTATACATCTTTTCAACATGGCCACCAGAGCTTTCACAGGTCACATTGGTGGAGGAATTTCAACATTACTATTCAGTAGTGGTCAGTTTTAAATCTATTTGTGCATATCACCGGCGCCCTCTGATAGAAAATTACTGTCGAGATTTTAGATTTTAAAGTGCAGGCGGGATTTCGACCAAACTTCAAAAGAGTGATCAATACTATACATGTGTACCTTGTAGTGCATAAAGACGGTACGTTCCGCTTGCCTGAAAAAATCACCATCATTAAATATGAAAATCCTGTCCGGCTTTCACAGGTCAAAATATGAGAACAAGATCAACATTGGAAGTCAGCGTTCTATGAATGCAGCCTTACACGACGTACAAAGTACTAGTTGGATTTCGACCATACTCCAAAGAAGTGGTCAGTACCGTTCCGTAGGAGACATAAGATTTTGTGACAAAAAATTCTCCAAATTAAGTTTCAAATGTGGTCAAATAAAATTAAAAAAAAACAAACAGAAAGTAGAATCCCTAAATTTCTCATCGAGAAAGTGAATCTTAATATTTCGTTAAAATCTCACAATTTGTAAGCATAATATTAAGTTTTTAAATTTTCAGTAATACGAATATATTGCATGTACTTTCAAATACATTTCTATAACATATTTATTTCAGCCGCAGATAATTGTTCATGAGATAGGACACGCACTTGGATTCTACCATGAGCATAACCGTTGGGATAGGGACAATTACATTAAAATACACTATGGAAATATTGAACCCGGATATAATAAATCGTTTATTAAAGAGAAACCAAAATATGCAGATTTCGACCATGATTATGATTATTTGAGTATTATGCACTACGGACAATATGTAAGTGTTAACGTTTCATTGTAATTCATTGTTTACGATTGATTTAGACATATAAATTTCATGAATTTGTTCATGCGGCAATAGATTTCTTCTTTCTTATTATTTTACTGCCGGATATAAGTGAATACTCTTCTTGCATATCTGCTAATGAGTCTAGAAAACGCCGATTTACACCGCCTTTATAAGACCAAACCAAAAATTAAATCTGAAGTATGTGTTTGATATGTTTATTTTTTAAAAGTTTATATGTATACGTACATAATGTCTATAATGATAATTATAATAATGTCATGAGATAATTACCTTTCCTTATAGCACTCGCATCTCATCACTGTGGATTCAAATCCCGACAGGGACTTTGGATTATTTCATGTGAGAAAGCTGTCTAGCTAGCTTACGGAACGTCGGTGGTTCTATTCAGGTGCCCGTTCGAGCCTGAAATAATTCACGGAAGACCACCTGAGGTCTTCCCCACCAGTAAAGCTGGAACGTTGCCATATGACCTATAATGTGTCGATATGACGTAAACCCCAACATAACAAACAAACCTATCCTAATCAAACGATATTCTTCTATAAATAACTTTTAAATGCATGATTACGTTTTTAATGTGATTGTTAATGATAATCGTTGTTCTCTTATGAATTGTAATGCACTAAATATGATAAACAAGATCGACAAGGAAAGGCGGCATTCAATGAACGCAGCCCCCACCCGACCCAGCAACAAGCGCCAGCGGCAAGGAGCCCAGGAGGACCCCAAAGAGTACAATTATGTCTATCTCTATACATAGTGTTAAAATGGATCAAGATCTTACAAACGTTTTTTCCACTTGGCTTAAATGACAACATTTTCAACAAGGTAACATCTCTAAAGATCCAAACATTGATATATTTTCTATTCTGAATATTCGTAAATCCCGATCTCACGGAGTACGTAGAAATGGCAACATCAAACGTAAATCTAAAATTACCCTGTCTGTCCCCGACTTAAATATCATCTTAAAAACTCTGGTATAACATGCATTGTTATCGCGTCTTACTTCCCTTTCATTATCATCTCTAAAAATCTTAGACTCGGAGGCAGATAATATAGATTTCCAAACAGATTTTTATATACAGCAGCTTATCTTATTCCAAGTTATACTCAGCACGTCTTATGACCTCATATCGACAACACTTCTGACCACAACAGGCATTTTCTAAAAGTAACCTTTCTTAATAAAGGTATCGATTTCGTCGATTTACCAAGTACTTTTCGTGACAAACGTATCACTAATTCAGTTCCGTTATACTTTAAAAACTCCGAGATACCAATTATTTGCTATAAATATAAGAAGCCTGTTAGAAATATCATATTTAATTACAACAAAGTGGTTTCTGATTAGATATTCAGTCAAATACTCCAACAACTTGAGACTGCAATACTTCTAAATACTGTAATTCAGATTTTGGCCATATAATCACTGGTAATTTTTATATAATTGTACACAAAAGTATTGGTAACTTATTCTTGAAAGGACCTTTATACAGAATTCCTTCTGAGATTGATTTTTATGCTTGTCGTAGTCAGATTGCTGAATCTATAGAGGATTTTTCGGACAAATGGTGTCGCCGTGAAAATGCAGTAATAATGCTTTTGTTACATGGAAACGTAACATCTTTAAAATTCACGTATTAAGTTTTATCGTGGAAAATGAACATCTTTTGCCACCTAAACCAAGATTTACTTTAAGACATCTGAAAAAAATGTATTCTAGCTTGTCATTCAAAATTTGTTTTGGTGCCAGCGGACAAGGCGACTAATAATATCATAATTGTATGACGAATCCCTTACATTAACGTTTTGCATAAGGAATTAAATAGTACTAATGCGTATTCTAAAACCTCTGCCTCCGAAAAAGACATTGTAAACAATCATATTACTAGTATTTTCAATCTTAAAGTCCAAATGAACGAAAAAGAACTCAAACCAAGCCTGCAACATTTTCAATTTTGCTGTGTTGGGCTTTCTTTAGGGATTCTGTATTTATCTATTTCATGATCACATCCGTGTTATTTGTGCCGTGTAGCGGCTGTAAAAAGTCTCCCCGTACATTTAATCAATGATGTTATATTTTCGATCCTTGAAGATCGTTCAGCACGACATTATTGTTGTGCTTGTGGTATTTTTAGTTTCAACTTTTCGGCATTTTCTAGTTGGGTGGTTCCAATATTCCTACATGAATAATGTTGAATCACCCTTAGGACATGTTGCCTGCTTTTTAAATTTGTCTTTTGACGTCTTATCTGTGATACGCAGGCTTCATAACCTCTGATCCCCTTTCAAAATTCCATTTTATTTAGTTCCGTCCATTGTTTTCTCGTTTAGGGCACACGCTTTTTATTACTTGGGGACCATACGCCGCTTTTCATGGAATGGCAAGGAAGTGTCACATTGAAGGTTCCATGATAACCGCCGTATGAACACATCTGCGGATGTTTCTAAATTCAAAATTTTACTATTTCACGTTTAAATGTTGAATTCTGCTTAAGCCGGTGCTAGGGGGCGTGGACGGTAGCTTGCACTTTCCAGTACCGTCCATGAACAGGCTCAATCAAACCGAGCCTGCAACATTTTCAATTTTGCTGTGTTGGGCTTTCTTTAGGGATTCTGTATTTATCTATTTCAAACTTCCTATTATGTATTGGATTCCTAAATTACATTAAAAACCTTACAAAGCCAGATTCATTGCTAATATTCATCTTGCACTACAAGTAAACTTTCTATTTTAACGACGTCTTGATTGACTGCCATTAAAATAGATGTAATTAGATTTTGTGATAAAGTCTATGAAAACACAGGCAAACAACTCTTTGCTCAGTGTAATCTTGGATAAATTCAAAATTAAGTAAAATAGAGAAAAACTGAATCCCCCAAAAAAGTCCAACACAACAAAATTGAATATGCTGCAGGCTCGGTTTGATTGAGCCTGTTCATGGACGGTACTGTAAAGTGCCAGTTGTCCACGCCCCCTAGCACCGGCAAAAGCAGAATTCAACATTTAACACAAAAATGGTGAAATTTTGAATTTAGAAACATCCGCAGATGTGTTCATACGGCGGTTATCATTGAACCTTCAATGTGACACAGTAGTGCCATTCCATGAAAAGCGGCGTATGGTCCCCAAGTAAAAGAATGCTTTTGCCCTTAAAGAGAAAACAATGGGCGGAACTAAATAAAATGGAATTTTCAAAGGGGGTCTGAGGTTATGAAGCCTGAGGTTAAGAACTTTCAAGCTTCAACTGTCAGTACATACGATTTTTCTACACTTTATACAACTTTGCCACATAAATTAATCAATGATGAACTAATTTCCCTAATTCAGAAAACTTTTGCACGGGAAAAAAACCCCTTTCTAGCATGTAATTCTAACAAAGCTTTTTTACTATCGGTAATGTTAAACATTATACTATGTGGACCTGTGACGAAGTTTGTATAGCACTCTCTTTTCTTTTAGACATCATTTATGTCAGGTTTGGTAAAATATGATAGACCCTATTGGTAATACCCTATTAAAACAAATCATATGAATTCCTATGGGTACTAATTGTGCACCGCTGGTCGCCGATTTGTTTTTGTACTGCAATGAAAGAGACTTTATGTTGAGTCTCTCTGAAAATAAACAAAACGATTTATAGTCGCATTTAATAATACTTCCCCATACCTTGATAATATTTTTAATTTAGATAATTCTTATTTTGATCAAATTGTGTCTGATATTTATCCGCATGAACTACAACTTAATAAAACGAACTCTTGAAATTTTAGTACATCATTTTTGGATCTTCATATTAGTATCAACAACAATTCTATTCACACGAAAATCTATGATAAAAGAGATGATTTTGACTTTTGTATAGTTAATTATCCACATTTAGATGGAGACGTACCCCATGCAACATCTTACGGAGTACATGTTTCTCAGTTAATTAGATTCGCTAAAGCTTGTAGCAAAGTAAAGGATTTCAACGAGCGGAATATTTTTTATTACCAGCAAGCTTCTGAAACAGGGCTACCGCTATCATAAATTAATGAAATATTTTACTAAAGTTTACAATCGTAACTTTGATTTAATTTCTAAATTCAATAGTGATTCAAAAACTCTTCTGCGGCAAGGGAATAGCCAGCCTGGTTGTTACAAACTTCGTAAGATTTTGGGTCATGCTATTTTTTTGCTGTTTTTACTAAAGTGATTAAACTTTTTATTAAAAGAGGTTATTACCCTACTATATTAAGTGATACTGCATGTTTAGTGGTCAACCCTTTTAAAGTTGGACACTACGCTTTCCCCTTTTGATTACATCTGACGGACCAAGTGGGACTCTATGATGGATAGTTCTTAAAGCCCTTACGGACTGAATTGTCTTAATGTTCCTCTTCTGCCTTGCTTCGTCATTCCCTTGTAGGTGACTTTCTTGTTGCTCTGTCTCCCTTTAGTACATTGAGTACTTTTGTTATGGTCATTGGGTTTACTTTTATATGTTTCTACATGATCAGTTTGGTGTTTTACTTATTTAACCTTTGTAACCATAACAACTGTTATAATTTCACTTGGCGGGGATTCAATTTATTTACACTGTCTCGTTTATAGGAACATGGTGGGGCTAAAAGCGAGGTTTGGTGCACCATTAAGCGGTTTAAACTCCCCAGCAGTCATTATTTTGCTGCTGAACGTTCCAAGGCGGCGCCCCTCTGTGTTCCTTAGATGTATGTCTATGTTGTTTCATACTGTTTTGGTGACACTTTTGCTTGTGTCCCTTGTTGTTTGCTCGTCTACGGTTAGTATCTTCCCCCTTTACCCCTAGTTTTTATTTTTTGTATTACCCCCCCCCTTCCCCGGTCTGCTGTCCCCTTTGACTTTGTGGGCCTATTATTCGATCATTTTATTTGTTTACTTTTAATTCCTAATCAGTTACAAACTATTTATCATTCAAGTGATTAACCTGTCCTTGCTGACTTGTGCCCTGTCCGGTTTTTGTTTGGGGTCCGCCTGGGCTCCTTGCTACTGGTTCTTGTTACTGGGTCATATGGGGGTTGCGTTCATTGAACGCCGCCTTTCCTTATTGATCTTTTTATCATATTTTATTGCTTTTCTTGGTTAGAATTTTATTTAATTATCATACAATCTGTTTTCAGTTTTTCTCAAAGAATGCATCAGCAAAACTTATCACAATAGAGCCGACAAATCCTAACTTTCAGTCTCGAATAGGAAATGTCAAGTTTCCGAGCTTTCAAGATTATAAAACTTTGAATGCTATGTATAAATGTGAAGGTCAGTATGTGTGGTTTCGACTGAAAAATTTAATGTCTCCTGGCTTTTCTGTAATATTCTTTAAAATATGTATCATACTTAAACTAAACTGTATAAAACAAGTACTGCTATAGTAAATGTAATAGGATAGCAGTACACAAGATTGTCATTAAAATAGGTATATGAAGCCAGATGTACTTGCATATCAGAAGGCAGTGTTTATCATAGTCTGACCAAAAAAGTTTCACACTAGGTGATTACACCATATGCTCTCTAAAACAAAATAAACAGCTTCTTTAGTATGCCGTGAACTTCTGAAAAAGATGTGATGTGGGCTTATTGTAATTAATACTTTATATAATTGGGTCTTATGTAACTCAAAGAAGAAGATAAAAGGAGTGGTTTGACGAAATGAAAAACTGACCCTGTTTAGCCAAAAAGACCACCAGTACAAAGACAATTTCGCATGCGATTTTATTAAATTCCAGTGGAGATGTCTTCAAGTGCTTTCTTGCCACAAAGTCAGTGGAAGTTCTTCAAGGATTCTGTACTGAACACAGTTAAGACGTTAAACAATAAGAAGCGGCCAGACAAAGGATGATCTTATTCGTGACACTGTTTTCTCTCATAAAGAGGGACACCTGAATTGGTTAAAATTTCTAAACATTCGACAAGTTATCCTGACCTAAGTTACTGTGTCTCAATCATTTCATTTTCATTTTATAACTCAAGGAAATGCTGAATTATGTTGGTCAAAAGAATTTCTTTCTGGAAGTAAGTCATATTCCAATAAAAACGGCTCTAGTTTGTTGTATCCAAATTGATATGTAAAATCATTTTTTGCTATAAATTAAAGTTATGCATATTTTGTTTACTCATAGATGTGTGTGCTAAAGTTAAATGTCCAGAAGGTGGGTTTCTTGGGAAACATTGCCAATGTTACTGTAAAGGAAATGCAGATGACACACCTGTTAAACTTTGCTTTCAAAAAGGTATTATATCATTTTAGTTTTTAAAAAAATCAATGCTGAAGAATTATTGCTTGTCCTGGCATGTATTTTTACTGTTAGTTTTAGGTTCAAACTTAACATTAATTCGACTTAATATACTTTGTCGAATGTCTTATAAATCCACACGTGTTCAAGGAACGACTTTAAAGCAATAGATATAAAAAAGAAATACAGAGTGATAAATGTTGAACACGTCATAGGTAAATACAAATTTCAATTAAACAATTTATATGAATTTCAGAGGAGTGTCCACAACCATTTGTAAATACATACTTATTTGATGTGATGAACAAAGACAACACAAGTTTAATCAATATGAACCGTACCTCATTTCCTGACAAGACAATTTTAAATCTTATCTCAACAAATTGGAACTGTTCATTTGCTTCTCAGTTAAGATGTGAGGGAGGTAAATGGTCAAAGACAGACGCAGAATGTCCAGTTGCTCTTGGTAAGAATATAACTACATGTGTTAGTCATTGCCTACTGAAAAAAATTTTATTAAGCTAATACATTTTGATATAATTCTGGTCAAAGTTTGCGGAGAACGCAAAATTACTTTTCTAAACATACTCGGGTATGACGAAAGATGTATTCTGATGATAAATTTCAGCTATATAGTCATAACCCTATTTCGAAATCCAATTAATTATTTACTTGGCAAATTTAACTATTCGGATATAAAAAAATAATTTCCAAGCAGCTTTGTATAATATCCAATGAGAGTTATTATTATTATTATAATTATTATTATTATTATTATTAATTATTTATTATTTCATTATTATTAATTATTTTTATTATTATTATTATTATTATTATTATTATTATAATTGATACATTTGTGTCGCACCAGCACAGTTAAAAGCTGGTAATGTTATATGGTGATTTCCAACTTCACTTGTGGAGGAATGTTTTAAGGTGGACTTCCAAGCATCTTTTACCAAACTGGCACCGCAGTAGAACCACCGATGTTCCGTAGGCCAGTGGGATGGCTTTTAGGATTTTGTTTTGGTGCCTTACTTGGGTGTGTCGGGGGGAGGGGGGGGGGCTGCGTCATGTGAACGTTGCCTTTGCCTTGTTAATCTTAATTATTTGTTTCCTCACTTGAACGAATACAAAGGCCATGTCGTGATTCTAACCAACATCAGTATCTTTACCATTTAGCAACGGACGCGGCTATTTTCGCACACATAGTCGGGTATATAAAATCAATAAATGAATTGTTATGCACTTGAAATACATGTTTGTAAGAAGTACACAATTTGAGATGCGTATGTATTTAAATTGAAACCCCGGTTGAGAAAGAATTATCAAGTGGAACATATTGCCTGCCATATTTCTCTATCTATTTTTTTCTAACTATGAAACACTTCAGCTTGGTAGACAAAAAAAAACATTTAAATAAAGAAAGCTCTCTGATTTAAAAATATTACAAGTTATGCTGTAAAAACTTTACTATTGTAACAATATATGTACATCCCTTGCCATAATTAGCAGCCATTTTTGGGGTCAATATCTTATAATTGACAAAATATACAAAAAAACATGTAAGCAGCTTATCCGAATTGTCGGGATGTGAAGACTATTAAATTATGAGAGATTGTTTACATTTAGCATAAAGTTTTTTTTTGTATGACCGCTAAAATGGTAGCAAGGCTGTAAGCATCTATATGTTATATGTTATTTTAAATACAATGAGCAATTAAAGATATGACTGATCGGATGATGCCCCATACAAATATGTAAAATTATATAATATAATAAAATAATATAACATAAAATAAGTGTTTTTCAATTTCAGACATTGAGATGATTGATGAAACAGAAGGTGTTGTTGAAGTTATTTTAAATGGCGTGTATCGTGGTTATATCTGTGATGACGACTGGGATGATAATGATGCAACTGTTGCTTGTAAAATGCTCGGATATACGTAAGTTACCACATATTTATGTTCAAATAAAGCATGCATCATCTTCCACGAGGGAAACATAATATCTAAAAATCACACTACAAAATTTTGGAAATAGCGTGATCTCTCGGAAGCATAAGTAACAACAAAATTACATGAAAATTACAGACTCGATTTGATTGAGTCTATATAAGAAATAATGAAAGGTGCAGCATCCCCCACGTCCCCCTAGCACCGGCATTGGCGATTGTCAATTTTCAACAGTTAAAAGTACTGAAATCAATGATCATTAAGGACCAGAAAAATATAACAACACTGGGAAACTTTTTAATGCTGCCACACAGCACTTGACATCTGCTGTTGTGAAGTATAAAAATCTCGAAAAAGTGTGATCCCTCGGAAGCATTTATCACAACAAAATATATAAGAATTGCAGACTCAGTTTGATTGACAACACACACTGTCTGACATCCTTCTTTTGAAACAATATTGATTCAGCATTTATATTGTTCTTTTTTACCAGAAATGGTTTGGCTTACTTTCAAAAACCTCAAGAAGTTAACGAATCTTTACCTTTTCTTCTGGACAACGTTCAGTGTAGTGGCAAAGAACAATCTCTTGCTGATTGCAAACACAATGCTTGGGGTAATCATGACTGTGAATATTCTGAAGTCGTTTCAATTAGATGTTTTGATGGCTCTTTTACCAGTCATATAGACAAAATGCATTGTGGTAAGAAAATACCTGAAATATAACACGATTAAATTTTAATTCTGTATTACATTTTATAGTTTAAAAGTTTTTATTCTAACTGACGATGCATCCATTTTTTAACTTTACATGTTTCAAATGTCGAATGTTTTTATTTTTTGAATTTACGTTCTTTGTCCGATTTTATTGGCCTGCTATTCAATTGTTATTTGCCTAAGAAACATGCTAAGTGTTAAAACATGTTATTGTTTTAGCCTTATTTTTCTGTCTTTCATTTTATCCCTAAAGGCATATAGAAATTAAACCGCCCGTCCGTATTAGGTTAATTTATCCAAAAAATTGGATAAATCTTAAGGGTACTTACACCAATATCGTTATAATTCACTAATCAATACAAAGTTCGTGATCTGAGCAAACAAAAAAAAACTTCCGTTTTTTGTCACTTTTCAGCACTAAAAAATAGACGGTTAACCTAAACCGGCAAGTTAAACAAAGTCTTAACTGTATAATAGCTTATTGTATCACTTTGCCATCCATTTTTTTCCAAAGTTATGTCTATCACTTTGCAAAAAAGGGCCTTGTATTGGTAACATTTTCCGGAAAATTAGATTATATATATAGAGAGAGAGAGAGAGAGAGAGAGAGAGAGAGAGAGAGTAAATTAAATACACACATACAACCATATCGATATGCCAATCCAATTTTGGCACAGTGCCTAGAAGAACAGTCATGAAAGCATAGCCCCTGCTAAACACCATCAATTAAATGATCCTTTCAGAACAGCTTTATACACAATAACAAACTGCACTACACATTGAAACTGGCTCAACATTCGCATATATAGAGGTTGTTCTCTATTATCATGTCTCACAAATCAAAGATGATATTTTCATTGACTTCTTCACTGATTTGGACCAGATATCTAAAAATATTTCCAAAAGTCAATTGGATCCTCAAGATCAAGTAGATCCGTAAGATACAATTAATTTAGACAAATAAAGAATATATAAAGGGAGATAATTAAATTCAATAGAGTTGTTTTATCCCCTTCGTGGGATCAAACAAAGATACAAGTGTGCATGTAAATTATTATAGAAATGAGAGAAAAAATACACACATACCACCAAACAGATATGCCAGTCAAATTCCGGCACAGTGCCTAGCAGTACAGTCATGAAAGCATAGCCACTACAAATGCACCATCATATTTTGCATTATTACTTTATTAAAGTAATGATCACTTTCATTTTTGTTTGCTGGATATTTTCAATGTTTCTCTAACTTTTTGTGACATAATAGGGTCACTTAGGTCATGGTCAAGTTCATGTTTTTTATCTTTGATACTGCCATAAATATTTCAGTTACAATCTATATATTTGGTAAAACCGCCTTTATTCTTTGAACGATGTTTCTCATTTATATATAAAGTGATCATTTGTTGGACCTTCTTCCTTTGGATTGAGTTCAGTCAAATTTTGCTCATCAGTCTTAACAAGATTTTACATTTTTTACTTTACAATCACATTAATTGACAAATGGTAGGATTATAACATGCACAACATTCTTCTTTTGAATTGAATAAACGGTCAGTGAGTCAATGAGAGGATTATAACATGCACAGCCTTCTTCTTTTGATTTGAATAAACTGTCAGTGAGTCAATGAGTGACAAAATATATTTCTATATTTTTGTCTATACAGCATTTATCTATGGGCTGATATTTGTTTTCATATTTTGAAGAAACATAACTTGAATTGTTCGTATTTGGGCGTCACAAGGTTAAGGTCATCTGTGCTAACAATAAACAATTTTACATTTCTTTTTACAACCGTTAATCTTTAATAAATCATATTAAGACGAACATACATAAAGTTGTCCTTAAAGTTTAAGTGAAGTTGGAGTCGAATTTTTGCATTTATATATTTTTGATATTTTTTTAGTGGAACATCATTTCATCATATAGCAATGACATGCCATCTTATATTTTAAACAATAACAAAGCGTCATGACTCGTCAATGCATTTGCCTGTGTATACAAATGATGTCAGTCTTTCAGTCCATAAAGAAATCAATGGGTAAACCTTAAAAAAGAATGTTAATGACAAAAAATCTAGGCCGCGGGCATTTGTTTTAAAAACAAACAAGTTCTTAGTTTTTTCTTGGTTTGTATTTAATTTAGTTATTAGTCATTAATATTGTTCAGCTATTTTGTTTCTGTGTTTTGTTGTTGATTTCTGACATGTACGTTTTAATCTTAATATTTGGCGCTTATAATTTAAAGGTAAAATTACATTAAATGATTCAAAGAGAAAGAAACGACAACTGAACGTTTTTGGTGGTTTTGAGACAATAATGGGAATGCATCCGTGGCAAGTAGAAATTCAACGACGGAAGAAACGAGTATGGATTCATTGGTGTGGTGGAACAATTATCAATAATGCGTGGATATTGAGTGCTGCACATTGTTTTGAGTAATCCTTGCTTTTCTTATCTTGTAACTGATTTAATAATGATTATTTTTCTTTGAATGAACTTTATTAACTGAATCAAAATAGATTATCAAGTTTAAGATAATATGCGGGGTGTATGCAACTAGGCCTATACCTTGCTTTTAACCACATTTTGCACGAACTATGTATATGTATCCCATAAATGGTCGTGTAAGCTCTCAATTGATACAATACATGTATAAATCAGTTCAGTATAGCTTTGACAATAGCTCGATTAACATTATCTACTCATCTAATGATTGGGAAAATGTCTCCTCCACTGACCAAATACGGTCCTATAACAATAACTACTGTTATCTTGATATACAGGCTTAATTAATATTTTGTGAAATGTGACGGTTATGGGAACAATGAACATTCTTTTTCATCTGTCTAACAGTGGTGTAAGAAATTAAAAAGTGGTGTGGATTCAGTAAAGGATGTATCTAATGCACACCGTCCGAAAACTGCAACTTCGCAAAAGAGTTGAAAATGTAAAGGATTTGATTGCTACCG